GGCAAAGGTTATAGGTCATTCTGAAAGAATCAGACTACCAGTGGTATCAAAATTGAAAGGATGTTGCATAAATGTTACACATGGATTATTATCTGGTCTTTGATTTTTCCCCTCGACCACTTGGGGCCCTTTCGCCCCATCCACAGCCACTAAATTTTTGGGGTCAACATCATTTTCCTTTTACTATACAGGCTTTAAGTAAACCCGGGGGGGTTTGCCAGGGTGTGGGTTTGGGGTTGTGGGGTGTTTTTTTGGGGTGTGTGTGTGTGTGTGTGTTTTGTGTGTGTCCTGTCGGGTGGCCTGCCCTGTGTTTTCGGTCTGTTTTTCCCTGTCTTTGTGCCCCTGTCTGTGTGTCTTTTTTGTTTTTTTTTGAGGATTTTCCCCGGGATTTTACCGGGAAGATTTTCGGGGGTCAACCCCCCGGGGGCCCCGTCTGGCCCAAAGGCCCCCGTGGATCAGCGCCTGATCGCCAGCTTTTTGCTATTTGGCTGCACGCAAACCAACGTAATTCCACAGCCCGGCGGGATCAGGAACTATTTTAGTGCTTGTCCAGTGCCCTTAAAGATTTGCCAGGGGCCCTTTTTTGGAAAAACCCCCTTAATGTGGGGCTGGGGGCATTTAACATTCTGGGGCCCCCGACACTTATTGTATGGTATCTTAACGTGCAAGTGACACCCCTGCTTTTCATTGGGGGGATGTTGCATCGCCCTGCCAAGCCCTTTTGTTTTCGTATTGAGGTTTTTCGTGTGCAATTTCCCGGGTACTAGTCCCTCTGGGGAATTTTCCAGGTGTATAAAAATCATGAAATCCCCCCTCCTGCTTTCCCCAGGGAATACGGGTTTTAAGAAACCCAAAGGCGCTTCCCCCAAAAATTAGTGTTTTATTCCGTTATGCCGCCGGAAAGTTTTCTTACATTTTCCCAGGTCGGCAATTTCACCTGCCTTGAAAGGTGCGGGTTTGAGTGCACAATAAATTTAACCAGATAACAAGAAACCCAAGAATGTCATCATGGGCTTTTGGGCCCCCCTATTTTGAAGGTTCCATTATCCATCCTGTCATTTTTCTAGCAATTTCGTTGAAACAATGTTATGGGCCCTTTAAGGTGGATCCCCCGAAAAATCACTCCCAGGGCCCTTTTACGTTGGTGTTCGGGCCCCATTTTGTTTCCAGAATTTTTTTTGTACTCGATGAAAGATTTAATTTCCTCATTTTACCAAATCGAGTAATTTAAAAATTTTTCATCGTTTAAATTCCCTATTGTTTTTTGCAGCCCCTGAAAATTTTTTGATGTTCCACCTGGAAACCTTTTCAGTGTCTGCCAAAGGGAAAACACTGTCCCTTTCAGATTCGGGGGTCATCTGCAAAGGAAACAAAGGGCTGTGGCTGACATCCTTGGCTATGTCCCGGGTATGAAAGGGTGAGGAACAAGATGGGGAACTATTTCGTGCCCTTTTGGGGAAAAAAAATGAGCTTTTTTACCGTACCCGCCTCGGCTTTACTCCCGTTGACGAAAAACTCTCTGTGTTCTTTTGTGGGAAAAAAATAATCCCCAACCCACCGAAATTTTTCCCGTTATTCCTTTAGCACGCCTTTTGGGGGCCTATTACGCCATGGGCACACTTGTTTGAAGGCTTTTGCAAAATCGTAATAAATTTCATTGCATTTTTTTTGTCTTCTATTCATTTAGGACCTTGTCGTAGGATCCAATAGTTTTAGACCCGACAGGACGAACCCCGTTCTAAACCCAAGTTTCCCAGGGGTTTGTAACTGATTTGGGGTTTTTAGATGGGGGGGAACTTGTTTTCCCCTTTTGGGCCCTTTTTAAAGATTTTTTAAAAAAAGGGGGGTTTTGTGCTATGGTCTGTATTTTTTTGTTTTTGCTTTAAATGCCCCCTTTTTTGGGTGGGGGTATGTCCCGTTTTTTTTAAGTAACTGAGGGACGAACCCCTTTCCCTTTCTGTCAAACTGTGTAGGCCCCCTCTTGTTTAAGTAGGGGGCCCAAAACTGGGCGGGTTTTGTGTGTTTCTGGGGTTTTTGTCTGTCTTGTTTCTGTGGTGTGCTGTGTCTGGGGTTTTGTCTGTCCGTGTTTTTTGTGCCCTGTGTGTCCCTTTTTTCTGCTTAGCCGGTGAAATGCTCTTTGGGCCCAAAAAAATGATATTTTCCCCTCATTTTTTTTTGGGTTTAAAATTAAATTTTTTGAAAAATTTCCCCTGCCAAGTATGACCCTGTGTTTTTAGCAAAATTCCTTTGAATATTATAATTTAGTGTGTGTGTGTTGTTGTGTGTGTTGTGTGTGTGTGGTTTTGTGTGTTGGGGTGTGTGTGTGTGTGGTGTTGGTGGGGTGTGTGCGTTGGGGTTTTGGTGGTGTGTGTTTTGGTGGGGTGTTGTTGTGTGTTTTGTGTGTGTGTGTTTGGTTTTGTGGTTTTGTGTTTAAAAATATCACTTCCTGGGCCCGTGTTTGTGCACCAAAAACATCACAATGCACAAAACACACAAAAGATAAAATTTTGGTCCCGAGTTTACACACATTCCCCAAGGAATAATAAGGCCATTTTTTATGGGGGGTTCGCTAAATCTGAAAGAGGTCATGCAATGCAGAAAAAATTAAACAGCTTGAAAAAAAACGAAGAGAAAGTTAACTCTAATTATTTTTCCTTGCAGTGGCTAGGCCCCTGAAACAAACGTCAAATAGGATACATAGAAATACAGAGATTATCTGTACTAAAACATCTTTACAAATAATTCAGTAAAAATTTCAATGTTTGTCTCTTAGCTTGAGTCCAGCCTCCTGTGTTATCATTAAACAGGAAATAATGCAGCATTTAATGTCTCCAACAGTGCGCTGAGGTCATCAAAATGAAAGCTGTGGTGATTTTTTTCCTGACGGCAACTGTGTTGCTGGCAGCTGCCTACCCTCAAATAAGTAGGCCTGGAGGCATCGGGCAACAAAGTGCCGGAGGCAACAAGCCACAAGGTAGCGCAGGAGGCAGCGGGTCACAAGGTGGTACAGGAACCAGCGGGTCGCAAGGTGGTCAAGGAGGCAGCGGGTCACAAGGTGGTACAGGAACCAGCGGGTCGCAAGGTGGTCAAGGTGGCAGCAAGCCACCAAGTGGTACAGGAACCAGCGGGTCACAAGGTGGTCAAGGTGGCAGCAAGCCACCAAGTGGTACAGGAACCAGCGGGTCACAAGGTGGTCAAGGTGGCAGCAAGCCACCAAGTGGTACAGGAACCAGCGGGTCACAAGGTGGTCAAGGTGGCAGCAAGCCACCAAGTGGTACAGGAACCAGCGGGTCGCAAGGTCGTCCAAGCAGCGGTTGAGCAACTACAGTCCTTCACCTGACACAGGTGAGTAGCAGCAGTAATTCACCTGACACACAGGTGAAGGTTACGTTTGTGTTGCTGATTCCCAATATAACACCGGTTTTGCTTGACTGGCTCTAGTTTTTGATAAATTTGCTATCTCGTTGCTAAACATAAAAAAGGTGAAAAATATATTGATCATGAGGGGCTAACTTACAAATCGCATTGATATTATTTTTTAGAACATGCAAAAGTCAAATCATGTAATACATACTAGCACTTCATTCTGTATAATAACAGATTAACATAATAAGATCATTCAGATATCACTAATTACTGCATATGAAAACGTTATTTGTATGATTTTCTTCTATATTGATCCTCAGCACAGTTCCGTTGGAGGCTCCAGCAATAGTCTGCCATCATGTGTGTGTCCCATCTGCCTTTCCCCCATCACCTTCATATCTTGATGGAACCTCTTCCCTAGTTCCTTACTCACCTCACCAAGATTATGTGGAAATCTGTCTAGGTGGCTATGGAGGAAGTGTACCTTTATACTTATATTAGTACCTAAATTCTTGAAGCTTGTCAGCATGTTTTGCACCAGTTCTTCATAATTGTCTGCTTTGTGATAACCCAAGGAGTTCTTGACAACTGACACATAACTGCACCATGCAGAAACTTCAACACCATTCATACATTTTGTGAAATTAGAGTACCATCAAAGATTCCAGCTTTACGTTTTTTCCTTACTTTGTCCAGGGAACGATCTACAAATGTATTTGAAGCAATTGCCAACTTTGTCCAAGGTCTTAACGAACTGCTTCATTAGCACTAACTTAATCTGGAGTGGTGGCAAAATAATTTTATAACTGTCTATCAGTGGCTTGTTAATGATATCTGCCGCACCTGCAACCATGTTTTCTCTTGAGGGCCATGTTACTTTTGCCCAGTGATCTGCCTTTGCCATACTGTCCCACAAACAGATGAAACGAAGGTACATTGTATATCCGCTCTGTTACTCATGCAAGAAGTTAGCCCATGATAGCAAAGCATCTGTATTGTAACATTTTTGTATTTTTTTTTTGATTGAGCAATTGGAAGAGATGCATATTGCACTTCTTCCATTCCCTAGCACACTTGGTTTTTTCCTCCCTGCACCTTTGGGTGAACCATGGGCTCATCCTGGCTTTTTCATTATTCCTGTTACCCTTGGGTACAAACCTCTCCTCAGCTTCCTTGCACATTGTTGTTACGTATTCCATTATTTCATTAATTTTCCGCGCGCTCTCAATAAAAAATCGAAAAATTATTGAAATTGAGTTATTCATATAGAAAAATAGCTCAACTCTTTGGCAATACAATGGTACAATAATCAATGTTCTACGACGTTTCTACAAGAAATTATAGTCATTTATATCAGGTATGGTGACGGTGATATTGGTAGCGAGTCTGCTCACAGCCCATATATTTTTTGGAAATTTTTTCCTTGTTTTTTATCTCTTTTTCTTGCATTATTCTTTCTAATATAATAACTGACTATTTTGCATCATAAAACAGTAGGTGGGACTTATCCGTAGACTTAGCGACAACCGGAAACCAGACGGGAACGCTCGGCAGTGTTCCCGCTCCAGAGAGTTCCAGTAGAAATCACTTCATTATTACGCTTATATCAGCTTATATATCAACGCTACGGCTTATTTATCTATCAGAATTGATCTAATATGATATAATAAACACTATAAATAACATACAAACATGTTATATACTCTGGACTGAATAAAATAAGCCATAATGTGGCGAGAGTCCACCAGGAATATTTCGATATAAAGAAGTTACTCCTCTCCATGTCGTCTTTGAATAAGAAAAAACGCTATTTTAAAGAGGATAACTGCACTAGAACATCAATAAATAGAGATAAGGCCCATGAAGGGTTTCTTCATCTCCCTATCCCCACTGATGTCTTTCTTGATCTGATCCGCCTCTGTGTGGACTCTAACTCCTTTTCCTTCCAAGGGAAATATTATTCTCAAACCTTCAGTGTCACTATGGGCTCTCCTCTCTCTCCTGTCCTTGCTAATCTTTACATGGAATACTTCGAGACTGTTCTTCTTCCTACCCTCGATGTGCAACCTTCACTCTGGCTCCGCTATGTGGATGACATCTTTTCTCTGTGGCCTCATGACTCCAGTCTCTTCCAACCTTTTCTTGAAGCTCTTAATAATCTTGCCCCTTCAATTAAGTTTAAAGCCGGATGGGAATCTATTCCTTACTTCCTTTCCTTGATGTCCATGTCCACATCTCAGATACAGGTTTTTCCTTTTCCGTTTACCGTAAACCTATGCACAGTGGCATGTACATTCACTACTTTTCTTATCATGCTTCCCCTGTCAAGAAAAGTGTTCTTATCTCCCTCTTTCTCCGTGCCCTCCGCATCTGAGATCCTCAGTTCCTTCCAGCAGAAATTTCCACTCTTCATAATTCGTTCTCCCGTCTTGGCTACCCTTCCCATTTCATAGACTCTGCCCTCTCACGTGCTAAACGCAATTTCTTCTCTCCCAAACTCTCTACTCATGGGAACTCTTCTATCCTCAGCCTTCCCTACATTTCCGGTCTTTCTAATCTCAACAATTCTCTCCGTCCCTTAGACATCAAGCTTACCTTCCGCCAGACTAACACTCTTCGCACTAATCTCGTTCATACCTCTCCTCCCTCTACAGATGTTCCTGGTGTCTACTTATTTCTTGCTCCTCCTGTCCTCTTCAATACTTCAGAGAAACTGGTCGATCTCTTTCTGACAGACTTAGGGAGCACAAAAATAGTGTTAGGCTTGCCGACACTAACAATGCTCTTTTCTGTCACGTCAGAGTCAATAGCCATCCTATTGACTGGTCTTCTGCTAAAACTGTCTTCCCTACTTCCAACTCGAACAGTCGCCGTCTAGTTGAATCCTCTCTAATACACAACTTTCCTTGTATGAACCTTAGCCCCGGCTTCGTCTCTGTAGATGCCTTCCTCTCACCACTACATTGTAAAATGCTCCAAACTTCAGAACACCCGTGACTGAACCTGAATCCTCATTTTTTCTTTTCTTTTTCTTCTTCCTCTTCCCCTTCCTCTCTCCTTTTTCTCCTGGGTTGTCTTTCTCTCTCCTGTCCTCGTTCGTGTTCTGTTCCTTCTTCATTTATTTTATTTCACACATTCCCCTTTCACGCACCTCTGTGCACTTGCTTCTCCCTCTGTGGGTATCTAGCTCTCTTGCAGTGTCCCCTTCCTTTGTATTTGACTGGCTCGTCTTCCTTATTTCCCACTTCTACCACTACTACTACCTCTTCTTCTTCTACTACTACTACAACTACTGATGAAATTAAGACACATGTGCGGCGTCTGGTTGTCTTTGTTGTGGACGTTTCGCCATCCATTGGCTGGCTGGATGGCGAAACGTCTACGATGGGGATGCCCGGGTGTTGTGCATGTGTCTTAATTTCATCCTGTCGGTATTTTATACAATTCTTGTACTACTACTACTACTACTACTACTACCTCCACCTCTTCCTGCCTATATATAGCCGTCCTGCTCCACCTCTGTTAGTGTGACTTTGTCAATGGTCCAAGTCGGACCGAAACGTCGTCGTAAGCTTCTCTCTTTTATGTGCGGGTTATTTGTGTATTGTGATGAATGGTTTGAAAAACCGACAAGTTGAAGATTAAGACACTTATGCAGCATATGGGAATCTTTATTCAGGAAACGTTTCGCCACACAGTGGCTTCATCAGTCCAATACAAAGAGGAAGGCGTAAGGAAAGGAGGAGTATGAGGTAATCAGTCCCTCAGCCTGGAGTCGATGTGATCAGTCCATCAATCTTGTAGAATGTACAGCATAGGGCCGTAAACATCAGTTTACTAAGAAATACACCCAAACAAACGCGATTTTCGCGAAAAAAAAAAAAAATTCGAGACGGGGGGCCGGCCGGCGTTCCAGGCCAATATCTCGGAAGTAACTTATTCACTTATTGTACCTATTTCTTCCTTTATTACTTAATTAAATTGAATAATATTCATAGAAATTGTAGAACGATGATTTCTCTAATTTCCCTCGGATCATTTTTGGAAATATTCCAAATACTTTGGGATTTATGTGGGAGTAAAGGACAGATTTTTTCCAACATTCCAAGAACTAACAAACTTTATTTTTTGTGAAATAAAGATAACTTATTTAGAGGAAAGGAAACACTGAAAAAATTTGTATTATCATTGTTCTCTCGGCACTAAGTGTCCAAACAACCTTACGTCGTCCCATATAAGAATAAATCGACCCCCAAGGGCATTTCCAGTAAATCAGTCCTTTTTCAGTCTTTTCTCAGTTGTTGTTTGAGATATATTTTTGATAAATATTTTCAGGAAAGAGAGAAAACACTTTGTCTTGTTCACCAAAACTGGAGGAAATCTGACGGTAAACAAAGAAGCAACAATTAACTGCCCTACAGCCCCCTGAAGCGTTCCCGCTATGTAATCACTTGTGTGTGTACTCACCTAGTTGAGGTTGCAGGGGTCGAGTCCTGGCTCCTGGCCCCGCCTCTTCACTTGTGTGTGTGTGTGTGTGTGTGTGTGTGTGTGTGTGTGTGTGTGTGTGTGTGTGTGTGTGTGTGTGTGTGTGTGTGTGTGATGAGTGAATGTGTCTTTTGTGAAATAAATAATTAGTATTAAACTGAATATAGAAACAAATGCCTCACTGTGTTTCTCAATCGAATTTCTAATAATATCTTTACAGGATGTGTGTGTTGATGTCGGATATACCCACTACCTGTTGATGTCGGGTATTCCCACTACCTGTTGATGACGGATATACCACTACTGTTGATGACGGATATTACACTACCTGTTGATGGACGGATATACCCACTACCTGTTGATGACGGATATACCACTACCTGTTGATGACGGATATACCCACTACCTGTTGATGACGGATATACCACTACCTGTTGATGACGGATATACCCACTACCTGTTGATGACGGATATACCACTACCTGTTGATGACGGATATACCCACTACCTGTTGATGACGGATATACCCACTACCTGTTGATGACGGATATACCACTACCTGTTGATGACGGATATACCCACTACCTGTTGATGACGGATATACCACTACCTGTTGATGACGGATATACCCACTACCTGTTGATGACGGATATACCCACTACCTGTTGATGACGGATATACCCACTACCTGTTGATGACGGATATACCACTACCTGTTGATGACGGATATACCCACTACCTGTTGATGACGGATATACCACTACCTGTTGATGACGGATATACCACTACCTGTTGATGACGGATATACCACTACCTGTTGATGACGGATATACCACTACCTGTTCATATTCACATTTGGTTGAAGATAAATATTGGAAAAGTGTGGGAGGGGGGAGAGAGGTAGGATATAAAAGTGTGGGAGGGGGGAGAGGTAGGATATAAAAGTGTGGGAGGGGGGAGAGGTAGGATATAAAAGGAAAGTGGCATAACCACTTTGGTGCAATTTAAAAAGTGTATGTGGAATAATCAGATATTCTTGAAGGGGTATAATACTAATCAATCAGAGTCACATAGATATAACAGATATATAAAATCTTTCCTTGAACTTTGTAACTCTACCACAGCGGCTGTTCCACACCTGTCACTTCGCTTTATATCTCACTTTACTTACAGCACTTCATAACTTTCATATTTCTTCATGTATTAATCTGAATAAATTTGCATTGAGTATAGTTTTTTTCAATCCTTATGTGGAAAATGCTATATATATTTTCTGGAAATACAGTATTTTATATGTAAATTGATGGCCTATATTGTAGTTAATAAAAATTAATTTGTAAATAGAAAAATGAGCCAGCGACCATGGGTTAGCGTCGCTGGGGGGGAGTCGCCATGTTTTGAATGAGTCAAGACAAACGTTAGTGAAAATCAGCATAATCTTCGTCGCTCTAGGGGTTATATTAGGCTTAAAACCTCTCAAATAGGAGCCGAAATTGTTGGAATTGCATTCCTGCATAACGTGAGAAATCAGGCGACTTGACAGGACAACTTCAGGAACCTCAGATAAGCTGTCTAATTTGTATTTATAGTTCTGGCCAGTAATTTTTTCATAAAAGTAGACAGGGAGGTTTTTGAGTATGATACACAGTAATCTCCAGACAAATTGGTGAGTGTTATGATTATAAATTCTCCTTCTGTTGTATAAATGTGTATATGTAATCATTTATTAATTTTAATATACAGTCCATAAATTTAAAATAATTTTACCAGAATTCCTGGTAATGTATATTTCATTTGCAATTAATATAGGTCTACAGCAACTTGTGGATATGACAGTTGTAGGTATAGAAGGAGGACATTTTCTGTGACCTAGGTGTCCCAAAATTCCTACTTGTCTATGTAACTTTGAAAAATAACAATTATCTTTGTTACCAAGAACAACATAACTGTCTTTAACTACAATATCAGATCTTTAAGCAGACATTACAATGACCTCATAGCATTACTAAATTCCCTGCATGCTAGTATATCCATCATTACTCTCACCGAAACCTGGCTAAAGCCTGATACTACAGATGTCTATGCCATTCCTGATTACACAGCCATACACAACTGTAGGCCAGACCAACAAGGGGGTGGCACAGCTATATACTACTCAGACCAACTAGTAGGTATCAAATCCAGATACCTACAAAAACCTCTCACAGTGATAAACATCTACAGAGTACCACAGTCAAACATTAGCCAATTTAGTCAAAACCTAGGAAGTATGATAACTGATGCACGTATGAACAAAGATCACTTACTACTCTCAGGTGACTTCAATATAAATCTCCTGCAAGACCAGGACCCACACGTTACTGAATTCACAAACACAATGAGTAACTGCATGTTGCTACCAACAGTAACAAAACCTACAAGAGTTACAGAGACTAGTGTCTCCCTACTAGACCACATCTGCACCAACACCATATCCCCCTTAAGATCAGGCATAATCACAGATAATACCACAGACCATTACCCTACTTTCCTCATAACAAATCTTGGCAAATTACCCCTCGACACTACTAAAGTCACTTTCAGACTTCACAATGAGGCAGCTATCAATAACTTCACAGCAGCAGTGACAAACATTGACTGGCACATTAAGCTAGAAATCTATACAGATATTGACGAATGTATTAATAATTTTCTAGAAAAAGACCCAATACCTCTATAACAAGCACTGCCCTAAAAAAACTAAACAGATGACAGCTGAGAGACTGAACAGTCCCTGGCTAACACCCAGTATCCTCAATTCCATAAATACAAAGCACCTATACGAAAAACAGTACAGAATGGGTCACATAACCAGAGACCAAACAAAACGTTACTCGTCAATCCTAACCAGCCTGGTAAGAAGGGCAAAAAAATTGTATTATGAAAACAGATTATCCAACTTACGAGGTGATATAAAAAAGACCTGGAAAACCCTATCAGAAATACTAGGAACAAAAAAGGTAACACGAAATAGCGAAATTGAATTAACAAAATCAGATGAATCCCAACTCCCACCCACTGAAAAAGCAAACAGACTCAATGATTTCTTCTCCACTATAGGATAAAACCTTGCCAATAAAATCCCAAGCTCAGATATCCCACCCAATGACTACCTCACCGGCAACTACCCGAACACACTGTTCCTAGCTCCGAATAACCCAACTGAAGTCTCCCTTATTATCAACGCACTAAAAAACAAGGCAGGAGATTTAAATACCTTACTACCCATTATATACAAAAAAGTGTCACAGGTGCTATCACCAATCATTGCAACACTCTTTAACAAATCCATTGAATCCTCCACCTTCCCTACAGTTCTCAAAATAGCAAGGGTCACCCCGATCCATAAAGGAGGAGACCAAACAGAGTTGAATAACTATAGGCCAATATCCAACTTACACCCTCTCTCTAAAATCTTTGAAAAATTAATCCATAAGCATATCTATTCCTGCCTCATCTCCCACAACATACTCATCCCCTGTCAATTTGGGTTCAGGCCTAATAAAAATACTAATGATGCTATTATCCACATGCTAGAACATATTTATACAGCAATAGAGAAAAAAGAAGTCCCACTGGGGATGTTCACTGACTTACGTAAAGCTTTCGATACAGTTGACCACGACTTGCTCCACATAAAATTGTCACACTATGGTATTAGAGGGCACTCCCTCAACTACCTCAAGTCATACCTCAGCAACAGAAGCCAATATGTGTACACAAATGGGGCAAACTCTTCCGCACAGCCAATTACAGTTGGTGTCCCACAGGGAAGTGTCCTTGGCCCTCTTCTCTTTCTCCTATACATAAATGACCTTCCAAATGCTTCGCCATTACTCAAACCCACACTATTTGCAGATGACACTACATACGTCTTCTCTCACCCGAGCCCAGTCATCCTAGCCAATACTGTAAATACCGAATTACAGAAAATATCAACCTGGATGAGGACCAACAAACTTACTCTAAACATTGACAAAACCTACTACATTCAGTTTGGTAACAGAGCTGCAGATGTGTCTCTTAACATAATGATTAATGGATCACCTATCACAAAACTCACAGAGGGAAAATTCCTAGGAATCCACCTTCAATTCAATTCAATTCAATTCAATTCAATTCAATTCAAAGTTTATTCTCTATAAGGATTACAATGCTGAGTTTACAGATATTTGGTTATTGTGTGGTTTACATGTAGTAAAATTGTGATTACAGAGTGTACCACTAGAACGCTTAGCATGGCTAGGCATTTCGGGCAGACTTAGTATTATTCTTAATTGTAAAATATTACAAATTATGAGGTAAGTTGCTATTATGGCTAAGTGACTAAATACTAGTTTGTGAGTTTAGCACTGTGAATGCTTTTGTTTTGGCACAGTACATAGTTTCAGTATTGGAGTATCACAGGATTCATTATTTTGAGATTGAGATTAATATTTCTGTTTATGGTCAAATGAGTGAGTGAGTGTAAGTGTGAACCACCAGGTGGTATTCGTGTAGTTAGTTGACGGGGTGTATCAGGGAGATAAGATGTTTTCTAATGGTAGTTTTGAAGGTGATGAATGTGTCTGCAGTTCTAGAGTTCTCAGGTAGGGTATTCCAGATTCTAGGGCCTTTGACATACATTGAATTTTTGTAAAGGTTTAGTCGGACACGGGGAATGTCGTAGAGATGTTTGTGTCTGGTGTTATGTGTGTGGGTTCTGTCACAACTATCAAGAAAGCGTTTTAGGTCAAGGTTGATATTAGAGTTTAAGGCCCTGTAGATGTAGATTGCACAGTAGTAAGTGTGGATGTACTGAACTGGGAGTAAGTTTAGGTCTATGAAGAGTGGGGTGTGTGTTGCCAGGGATGGGATTTAGTGATTATTCTTACTGCAGCTTTTTGTTGGGTTATTATTGGCTTTAGGTGTGTTGCTGCAGTTGATCCCCAAGCACGAATAGCATAGGTGAGGTATGGATAAATAAATGAGTGGTATAGTGTGAGAAGGGCATTTTGCGGCACGTAGTATCGTATCTTGGAGAGGATCCCAACCGTTTTGGATACTTTTTTGGTTATATGCTGGATATGGGTGCTGAAATTCAGGTTGTTGTCAAGGTATAAGCCTAGGAATTTGCCCCCATTATTTCTGGTAATTAGAGTGTTGTCAATCTTAATGTTAATTTGTGCATCTCCTGCTCTGCTACCAAACATAATATAGTAGGTTTTGTCAGTGTTAAGCGTAAGTTTATTGGCTGTCATCCAAGTCGATATTTTAATCAGCTCCTCATTCACAATGGTG